TGGTCGCGGGTAATACGAGATCCGAGATCGGAGATCGGAGAGCCTCTTGACGTAGCGACGTCTTTTTTTATTGTTTTTTTTTTCTCAATTCACACAGTCTAGGCACACTTCAACTGTGCAAATGCGACGACTATGATAGCGGAGAGCCGAGCAGCAAGCAGCAGCAGATACAGATACGGCCGAGATACAGATACAGATTCGGGCGAAGAAACGTGCTCCAGCGGCGTGTGTCATAAAGCTATAGCCTCATACATATCTAACAGATACAATGCGAGTGCCTGCCTTTGCTGGCGGCCAAAACTTATTCTTCTTTTGTTTTCGGTTGGGGCGTGAGTCAGATTCAAAAAGCAAACAACACACTCGTCAAAATAACAACAAAAATTTATGTCAGCAGTGCCAAAAGCGTCGAACGAATGAAGACGATAAAAAAGCGGCAAAATAAACAGAAGGAATAGTATGTACAAACACATATAAATTTACAGTGTGTTTCGTGGAGTATAGAAAAACGATTGATTCCAGTTCAAAGAGCAAACAACAAATAAGAAGCATTATTAAAGGGGCAAAGTGTATCTTATGATCTTAAATCTATTAAAATCATTTGTTTTAGATAAATATGGCATAAACATTAAAAACTTCAAGGCAAGCCTTATTAAATGTACGAATTTACTACCTATAACAGGAATTCATTGTACATATTTTAAATTCTTGCATTTAAATGTTTAATTTAAATCTACACATCCAGAATAAAATGCAAATTTTTGAATTAGTAAAATGTTTATGTAACGCCTTTTTATATTTTTCAGGAAACAATTAATTAGACTGAAATGCAAATTTTGCATAAGCAAAAATTTGTATGCATCGCAAACGAATTTGAAGCAAATAGCTTTTAGCATAAATGTATACCAAACACATTTAATACTGATATAGAAGAGTTGGATTTCCTATAAATTTAATGTAATTCTTCGCCTTGCTTGCACTGAATACAGCTGCGAAACGCACAGTAAATACATAGAAATTTCCACACAGACAGCTATTCAAATGTAATCGCAGGCTGTGCATTTCAAGTGAACGGCGAGCGCCAACAGGTAGCCAACGGATGATTGCGACGACCAGAACCCCAAGCCCAAAACCCGAAGCAAACATTGCTGCACACCCCGCATAATAAAACCTCAAAGGGAAATGGAGATATGCAAGCAGCAAAGCGAGATTAAAATGCGCCATCTACCGGGGGTAGACAGATTTAAGCGTTATGGGCGTTAGAGTGGGCGTGGCAAATTTATTTTTGGATCAATCGATAGGTATTGACGACACCAATACATTTCAGTTAAAATTTTTTATCTAGCATGCAAATTGTGGGCGTCACAGGTTTTCGCGGTTTGTGGGCGTTTAAGTGGGCGTGGCAAACTTTTTTTTAGATCAATCGATAGGTATTGATGAGAAAATACATTTCAGTTATAATTTTTTATCTAGCATCAAAACTGTAGGAGTTACAGTTTTGGGCGGTTTGTGGGCGTTAGAGTGGGCGTGGCAGTCTACTGAAACAAACTTGCGCTGCGTAAGAAGCTCAGGAATCTTTACGCCAAATCTCAATAGCCTAGCTCTCATAGTTTCCGAGATCTCAGCGTTCATCCGGACAGACAGACGGACAGACGGACAGACGGACAGACGAAAAAGTATAGCAAATAAAACTCAAGTAAAAACAGCAACCCGCAACCTCAAAAAGCGGCTATTGCTGATGTTGGTGTTGCTTGAGGTGAGGCAGGAACCTAATTAGATCTCTCGCAATATCTCCGACAGACACAAGGTATATGCAGGTATATTTTAAAATATTTTAAGCTACTTAACTTTTTTTCTGTTTAGTAACAAACACATTAAAAGTCAGCAATTTGCTTGTGTATTCTCGGAATTATTCAAATACATTGGGAGAGCTTTCAAAAATGAAAATTAAATTGACAATTTTATTCTGATTGCTCATAAATTAAACAAATTCTGGGCGATTTTTTGATTGTAATCCAATAGGTAGTACATCATAATAAAGACAATAAAAATACACATATTTTTGAAATTATTTAACTTGATTTTATCTGAATCTCTTATCACTTTTTGTGAGCTTGAACTAAAACATGAATAATTCATTTGTTAAATAAAAGAAATGGCACATAAAACTCAAGTCGAAACAATACGGATAATAAATATTGTACCCTCTGGGAAAAAGGGTAAAGCACAAACTCTTTTTGGGTTGCCCAAACCACCGCATGTGAGTGTTGAGTTTGGATTCGACCCGCATGTCAAGCTAACGAAAACAAAAACACAACCCAACGACGACAGCAATTGAAAAGAGAAAGTTGCAAAATGAGAAAAAAACACAAAACTCTAGCAAGTTGAAAAGTTGAAAGCCGTTAGCGGTTCGCTAGCAGCATGGGATATACTCGTACTATACTATATATAAATACACTATAGTGGACAGCGGTCGCTCCGGGTTCCCAGGTCCCAAATTCAAAATCCCAAAATCCAGTCAGACACCCTCCCACTAAGCTGATAAGCCAACGAGGTGGCTTCGAAATCTCTGGCTTCGGTTTATTTTGTATTTTTCTCTTCCTCCGATTTTGAGTCTGGTGGAACGAGTTTTTACAAATTGTCAACGCTTTGCTTTAGCAAATACAATTTGTAGACAGGCAAACTAGTTTGCAGCTATGCCAGAAACGAAACCAAAACAAGAATAAATACCTTTTGGGCGAGTTTTCCGACTATACGATACCTGGTAATCAATAATCTGATCGGTCTAGATAAGGTCAAAGAGTTCTTGGATATTTTCTTAATGAAGGGAGATTAAGATTTTGCATCTTATTATTAAGATTATTTGCAATGACTAGATTACTAATGATATTTAAAGTAGATTAAATGCCCATTCTTATAGATTAATAACCCACTTTATTATTTCCATGACAACCAAAAAGCCAAAAAAAAGTTAAGGTTCAATAAATATTGACCCCCATATGAACCAAATAAAATATTTAATTTCATTTCATTTATTATATTGCCATTAATATGAATATTTGGCTGATATAAACACAAGAACTAGGTGTAGTATATAGTATGATCTTATAAATTGGGCTTGATAAAGAGTTTTAAGTTTCCTGGTCTTAACTAGGAATTTTTGCAACTAAATCCCGTACATACCCTGGCCATCTAGCGGTACTAGCAATCCGCAAATACCGCACCACGAATATCTGAATCTGTGTATCTGTGCAACATAATTTTGTCATTACGAGGCGACACACACACCCTCGTGACCGGCCTGCATATGGGCAACAGATGTTGGGCAAATACAGAAATGAGAGCTGCGATACACGATATACAAGACACAAGATGCGACCAGGTAGTGCCACGCCCCCGCCCTTTCCCGCCCCCGAAAGTTGACTTTTGTTGGTTTGTCTTTAAGAGTGTTTGTGTTTGCTTGGTTTTCTTTTATTTTTCTTTGATTTTTTGGTTTTTGAACCGGGGCGTGGGCAGCGGCGGTAATTCATGCATCTTTCGGTAAGTTTAATACACTTTGGGTGCACAGGAAAAAACATCTTGAAAACCAAGTTGAATGGGTATTAACATTTCTTTTTAAATAAGAATTGAAATGATTACCAATATCAAAATACATTTATTAAGTATAAAATATTTCAATCCTTAAATATTCAATAATACACATCATATCATATGATATCATATTAAATTATGATTCTTTGTGGGGGTTCCCCCCTGGGGTTTTGGATCTCCATCCTCCTCTCTCAAAATCTCCGTTTCCCCTCTTTTTTGTGTACGAATGGCCGAGTCAACAAAGAATTCATAATAAGAACAACAAAGGCTGCACAGGGCAGTCAAGTGTGGGGCCAAAAACACAAAAGGAGAGAGCGCGAAGAGAGTGCAAGTAGTGTGCGCTCGCGAAGAGGCGCACAAAAAGGAAGTAACTAAAAATAACAAACATCTCGTTTGGGTTTGTAAGGTGGAATGAACTCAGAGCCCGCGATGGAGAAGAGGCCGAAAAGGAGACGCCGAGGAGACCAACCAGACACGCCGAGATCCATGCCCCAAAACCGATCGAACTACAGTGATCACTTGGTTAAAATTCCCCTAGGAGTGTTACATTGCCAGAGCTCTCAAATGCAGATGAAATCACCACCTAAAATTAACAGTCTTCAGTCACAGATTCTTTTCGATTATCTTTAGCGAAATGTGCTGTTCTAAATAACTGCAATCTGTGTAATAGATCTTTCGAAATTCGAGGAATTGCTTTACCATTCATTTTTTAACAATAAAAGCAATGCCCATAGGGAATTTTTGCATTCGTTAATTGTATTTTTAAGAATTTCTTGGAAATAATAAAAAAAAAAAGAAAAAGATGCATATAAGACGCCTGATTTTCGTCAGAAAAACATCTAGTATTTTTCAGAACTGAGGAGTTTTGTATGAAAAAATTTAGTATTTTAAGAAATTAATATTTTTGAATACAAAGTTTAATGCAAGGACGAACTTGAATTGAAATTGATTATCTCCTTTTTTAAAAAATCCCTTACATGTTTATTTAAAGAAATGGTGAAATGCAAGTCACAAGAAATAATCACAAATATAGTCGGAAAAGATCTTTAAAAAAATCACATTATTTTAACATGTACTATGAATTACCCCAAAACAATTTTACCTAAGGATCTCTTAACCTTATAATTTAGCTATCAAATAGATTTATTTATGTTGTATTCCCTTAGATATCTCACTAATTAAAACGCCATTAAGGCATTTCCGGTATTTCCTGAGAACTTGGTGATTTCTCTTTAAATTTCCCATAATCTTCCCTAATTAAAATCATGACATCTCGAGTCAATAGTAATATAGAATTTGATGTTTCAATGGGTTTCTCCCTAGATTTTAGATCTCCCATTGATGCAGTCACTTATAGAAATGATGAAATACGAGGATATGGGGGATTACCCTGGACCGAGACGACTTCTTACCTTCGTCCAGCAGCCGTTCGACGTGGGTGAAGACATTGGGGAAGGCGGCCAGCTGCTTGCGGTCCTTGAGCAACTGGGCCAGATAGTCGGCGATGCTCTGTGTGCTCTGCTGCTGCTGCTGCGGGGTCAGATGCTGCGGGGTCATGGGGACCACCACCTGCGGCGCCTGCTGCTGCTGCGCCTGCGCCTGAGCCTGGGCCTGGGCTTGAGCCTGGGCCTGGGCCTGAGCTTGGGCCTGGGCCTGCTGCTGCTGCGCCACCGCAACAACTGCTGCGGCCTGTTGCTGCAAGTGCTGCTGCAGTTGCTGTTGCACAACGGCTTTGCTCTCACAGACACTCATTTTGCTGGCGTGTGTGTGTGTGGTTTTTTTTTTTTTTGGTGGGGACTTTTGTTTTTGTTCTCGACGAGATTCTGGTTTACAACTTTCAACTTTCCTTGAGCTTTTGGGTCTCTGCTTTCTTTACTTATTGCACACTTCTTACGTTTTGCTATCTTTAACACGTTACTGTGGGAGTTGGGAAATTCATTAAGTTTCGTACGCGAGATATTCAAAACGGAAAACGAAATGAAAACAACTCCGCCCAAAAGTATTTTTTACGATCTGCAGCAACAACAACGGCGCAGCGCGAGAGAGAGAGCAACGTAACGGAGAGAGAGAGCGAGAGCACAGCAAGTCGAAAGCGAAGACAGAAAATTCCTCGACGATCTCTCACTCACACACGGACAATGAACAGTAAAACTGTATAGGCGACGGACGGAGATGAATGAAAGCAGAATGTCAAAATAGCTGCCTCTCTCTCGCTCTCTCTCGATCATTTGGCTGCTGCAACAGCAAATACAACAAAAAATTAACTTTATATATTTAAATATTTGTTATATGCAAATAATTGTTCTTATTTCCAGTGGCTTTGGGCCAGAAAAGGATAAGTTCCTTTGGCTGGATATTCAGCGAGTGGACAATCCCACCGAAACGAACTCGAAACGCTGAAAATTTCGCAGAAATATGCACAGTTGCTGATTATGTATTTGTTGTTGCTGCTGCTGAAGGGCTTTTGGATTTTATTCTTCGTTTCGTTTGGTTTCGAAAGTTCTTTGGTTTTTGAAACACACTTCTCTGAGGATTCCTTCTCTTTGTTTATTTGATATATGTGTATATTGGGTATATTGGTTTTATTCGAGGAAATTGCGAACCGAATTTGAACTGAACGATTCGAAAGAGAAAAAGAAACTGAATGCGAAGCGAAGAGCACAAAACGTTGTAAGTGTGAGATCATGGCTGTGCGATCGCTAGGTGGTGTTTTTGGCGCGCACTCTCCTCTCTGCTCTCTCGCCGCGTGACGTCACAAAGTTCACTTTGATTTAATAAAATGTAATAAATAAATTAATAAAGACTTAAAATTAGTTAAATTTGCACATTTTATTTCTCTATTAATAATATAAAAGCGATTTATAACTTTAAGTGCTATGACTAAGCCATGAACGACTACTAAATACTCAAAAATCTTTAATATTATTTAATGCTTTAAATAAATTGTTTCTTAAAAAATCTGAATAAATTTAATATGGCTTTTCAACGTATTTTTATTATTTTCAATCATCTATAACTTAAAAAATAAATAATTTCATACAGTTTTCCATATAAACAACCAACTTTTCATACTTTGTGACGTCACTCTCGTTGTGGTTTAGCTCTCTCGCCACCGTGCGAGATCACTTGCAGCGTTGCCACCCCGTACAAAAAGAGTTGCGCAGCTGGTTAACTTAATTCACATATTTTGCCCTAAAATGTGAATATTCAAGTTGATAAATGAACGAACATGCCCAAAACAACTAAATACAAAAGTAGGTGATTAATTTCCGGCCGTAAGATGCCCGGTTAGTTTATTAATTACCTACTAAGTCACGGCGTTGCCACCTGATGCCTGGGTGGGCCACAATTTGGCGCGTTGGCGTTGGTTTCGAATTAATTAAGACAGCAATTTTCGCTTTGAAAAAAGGTAGCCCAGAGGTCAATATGACTTTATTGATCGTTTGATCAATTGATTATTTATTGGCACTTGTTATTAGAATTCAACATATTTCCATACCACAAATTGTTTATCCTTTAACCAAAATCACTCAGATTCCTAGAAAAAATACTGTATAAGTGTAGTGAAGTACTGAATTCGTAGAATCCAAAATCTGGCTCTGATGCTGAACACCCTCTGTCTGAACATACTATTAATATTAATTGCGCACGGAAATTGCTGGCAGATTAGAACCAAGCGGCATTTTGTTTTGCTGGACATATATGCGGGGGCTATCATCTGGGCCCAGGCCCAAAACACCATGCAAATGAGCCCCAAACCCGTACTGGCCAAATGTTGGTGTTAACTTGGTTAACTCCGCCGCGAAATGTATGTGGGAAAATTGGCATTCGCGAGCGTTTCGATGGACAAGGCCGGCGACAACTTTTACTTTCCATTTCAAAAAATACGCTTTTCGCTGTCTTCCGCGTATTTGGCGTATTTCACATAAGCACACCGAAAAGGAAAAACATTTGGATAATTAAAGGAGGCTTTCAAAATCTTAAAATAGGTTTAAATAAATGAAGTATTAATTAATTTTATTCACCAGCTTACTAACCATTTTGGGGTATTAAAGACAACTCTCATTTTAAGACTGCAGAATATTAATTTTTTAGATTTCGAACTATGTGTTTTTAGGTTATGGATAAATTATCAGTACTCTTATAAGTCCATTTTAATTTATTTAAAAGTCTGATTAAACTTGAGGAGAGTTTTTTCTTCCAAAAAGTTGTTAAAAAATATGTTCCCAAATTAATGGCATGTTTTTGAGATGATTCAAAATGCAATTATATTTTTAGGATGGGCATGAAAATAATTCGCAGTGCAGTGCAGCACCCGCACTTAAATGAGACGTGAAAGTTTGGAGTGGAGGAAGACTTGGATGGGCATTGGATTGGCCGTTCCATTGGAAAGCGGCGCCCACCGGACCTCACCTTACCAGGTTTCACAGCCTGGCCACAAGTCCCACCAAAATCGTGTGCACTTGGCTCACACCGTTACCGATCGTATTGGATCGGAACATATTGGTCTGTGTGTGGGCCGACATTATATTAACGGCCCCATTATATAGTTTTACTGCCATGGAAATATGTGTCAATGTGCGTGGCGATTGAGACATTGTATGCTTATGGATTTCCGATTCAAATCTGTGGGGAAAAGACCGTGGCCAAAAAGCCCAAAGACCAAAGCCCTTTCCAATCCGCACACCCACGTTGCCGAATGTTTCTCTTTGGACATCTGGCAGATCCAAAGTGCCAAGTTTTCCGTGGGCCGTTAATCTCTCCAGGGCTTTGGAATTTTCCTTTTTTCGGTCTTGGTCGTGGTGTTTCGCCTTGTATGTAGGTCATTTTAGGTAGCTTTTTCGGTTTTTGGAAAACCGAAATGGCCGCAAAACAAAAGTTTTCTAGCAGCTGTAAAGTGCGGCGAGGAAAATGCTTCAAATGGCGGGACTGAGGTCTTAATTCAAACTGGCAAGTCGTAAAACTTTAAGGAGATAACATGTACTTTTGTTATTTGTTTAAAGATATTAGTAAATAACTCTGTAAAATTGTTGGTCAAATTTATTTAAATAACAAACATATATATAAATTGTGATAATTTCTTAACTTTAGATTTGAATTCAGTATTTTAGATGTTGCAGAGTTTTGCATTTTTGCGTCCTCTTCGATTGAAGTAAGTTATTAGTCTTTATATGGCTTTGGACAGAAAAATATTGCATCTCAAATGCACTTCAATTGTTTTACCAAATTCCCTGCTTATAAGGAAGTGGTTTTAGACCGCCTTTCGGAGTTAACACTCTTTGTTGGCCGAGAATCCTTTTTTGTCCACTGCACGTTTCTGTCAAATGCAAATTTGGCCAATACATTTAATGGCTTTCGGCTTTAAACGACGAATTAAGCATTCTTTTTCTTAATTTACCGCCGACACAGAAATCCCCTGTGTGAGAGTGTGTAATTAGCAATATGTTGGCCAAAAAGCCAGGCAGTTGGCCATTAACCAGTTTGTACTTGTTTCCATTACGCATGACACGCGGCCATGTGGGCGCCTCCGGTTTTCCAACTTTTGTGTTTTTCACTTTTTGAGGTCCACAAAGAAACCGAGCTGCAACACCCACACAGATGGTGAGTATCTGTCAGATACACTCGCTCACATGTGCAGGCCGAGCAGCCAACTAAGGTGTCCAAAGAGGTTTGCTTTTGACCACAATTACGAGTGGTACTGATTCAACTTTGGTAATAAATAAATATTAAATCTCTCTGGTTTTAAAAATGAATGTTCTTAAATGTTATATGGTTATTATTATTATTTTCCAATTTAATTTTCATAAGGTCAAAAACATTCCTCGGATCAGTAAATAATATCAAAGGCATATAATTGATCCTATTTCAAACATATGAAAATCATTTTCTTATTTTTAAATTTCCCCAATATTAACCTAAGTGGATTGCTGGCAAGTTCTACTACATATATTCTTTTTTTAAGAGGAATATCCTAAATCTTTTTAAAATTATTTCTTTCTATATGAAAAAACATAGGCCTAACACCTACATTTTATGGGATCTTTTGTCGCCTGTGCGAATGCATTTTCTGTGTCACCGCTGCCTCCCACAGGTGGAACCAGTCGTTTTCCATCCATTCATAAAGTTTCCACTTTGCATATTGTGCTCGACCAGCTGATTGGACTCAACAAGCCGCAGACTAAGCAAAACTAATCTAACCACGATCCGCAAAGTGCGCATGAATGAGTAAACTTAGGCTCGTTGGCTTTTTCATTCACAGAAATGTCGTTAGCCTGGCTTTTAGAAACAAGTGTTAATGCCAAGAGGAGGGGGGAAGATGTGTGTGTGGGCGTTCGGCGCTGCGGTCTTCAACATTCGTCACGCCCACGCCCCCAACAACATATAATTTGCTAATACATTTCGAGGGCTGCCGAGCGCTGAGCACTTACAGTCGAGCATCTATAACTCAAAAGTAGTTTAGTCTAAAATTTAGCAATAAAGGAAGTAGTTTCCTAAAATTGTAAACTATTAACAATTAAAAATATAACTTATAAAAGGGCATTTTACTGCCAATGTCATAATTCTATAGAATATCTGTGGGTACTAACAAATAACATTTTACAAAATAGGTTTAAAGTAATATTATTTGTTAGTTATACTGAAAAAATCGGAATAGGTTGTCAACATTAAACCTTTTATATTAACAATTTAAGTTATTAATTTCAATGGATACTCTTTAGATTAAGTGACCTGTAATTTCCTAGCCATTATTCGGTTGTGGGTGATGGAATCTGTATAGAGGGGGCGAGCTAAACAAGTTTTATTGGAAAATTGATCGCGGCCCAGTGCTATTTCAATTGGCAAATGCATGTGCAGTGGGCGCCCGTAAGTCAGCAATTGATTAAGCGCCCGATTATCGATTAGTTGGGCCAACAGCTCGTCGCCACAGTTTTAGAGGAGCTGGGCGAGCGTGGTCCATAAACTGGCACAATTTAGCGGGTGAAACACGAAATAAAAAAGCCCGATCGCCCAAATTTGGGGAGGCGACTCAGCTCAACTCGACTCGACGGCGACAACAATAAACATTTGAAACAAACAAGCCACAAATAAGGAGAAGCCACATCCGCATCGAGAGATCGAGTGGGATGCGAGTGGATGATGATGCCCGGCCAAATGGTTACGTGAATTCGTGAAATGAAAACATTTAGTTTTATATCTTTTGCCTATATGTATACACACTGAAATAAAGAAGCAGATTTACACTACGCAATGGTATCTCTGCCCAAATCTAACAACTAACGCGTAAACTTCTTGGCCTGGTCGCGGTTGACCTGCTTAAAGTGTCTCTGCTTGGAGGCGGACCCCTCGTTCATCTTCTTGTAGAATCCGAATCCGCCGCCGCCCACCCGTTTCTCGGGCCGCTCCCGCTTGGCCGCGCCCACCTTCAGGTCGACCACGGGCGGCACCAGGAAGCCAAAGCTCTTCGAGACCGCCTGCAGGTCCAGCGTGTTCACGTTGAAGATCTGCTTCAGCTGGTGCGAGTCGTAGGCCCGTACGTACGACTTGAACGCCTCCTTGGCCGACTGGTTGAGGAAGTAGTTCTTGGCGATCAGTTTCTCCAGCTAAAATGGATAAAAAATTAAATGATATAAGTATATAAGGTAGGAGATCTTTAAGCTTTAACTAATCATACTACTAATTCTTTCTAAAAGTATAAGACAGAGATGGGATTAATTTATATTTATAAAGATAGCCTGTCGATATTTATATTCTACATTTACTCTCTTTAACTTAAGGGAATTAAATCTTAATTAAATACGATTTATAAATCGTTTTAACATATCCTATTATTTAAAACACACATTTTTCATATAATTTATATATCTTGATATGTAACTTACATAATGTAAGTACTTATTTTCAAAATATTAAATGTTCAATTAAGCTCAATTTTCTACAGGAAATCAAAAAGTTTAACACTTAATTTAAAACACCCACCTGCAGTTGAATGTCAGCTATCTTCTGCCAGGAGAACTCGAATTCATTAAGTGGCACCTTGGCGGCCTTCAGGTAGCGCAGGAATCCCAGCTCTTCGGGTCGCATCAGGAGCAGTGCGTGACCCGAGGTGCCCGATCCTCTGGCCGTTCGGCCCACCCTGTGAATATACTCCTTGGGATCATCTGGGGGATCGTACTGCACAATCCAGTCCACCTGCGGAATGTCCAATCCACGTGCCGCCACATCCGTACATAACAGAATGCCCGATTCGGCGTTGCAGAACTGGAAAAAGGTGGTCGTTCGCTTCGTCTGCTTCTGCTTGCCATGGATAGAGGTCACCGGCAGGTCAATGTAGTTGAATAGCTCGTGATGGTACTTGACGGACATGCAGGACGAGAAGAACACCATCACCTTCTTCTTCCGGTTCTTCTTGAGGAACGTGAAGAGGACGAGCAGCCGCTTCTCCGAGGGGCACACGATATAGCCCTGCTCGAGTCCATCGACCGTCGCCGTGTCCTGGTTATCGTGAACACCTACATAGATGGGTTCCGACTTAAGGGCCAACTTGGAAAGGGCATCTATACGAGCTGTCTGTGTGGCCGAGAACAGCATTGTCTGACGGCGTTCTAAGGGAATCAAAGGGATTTTTATAAGTATTCAAACTTTTTTAGCTATTCTCTACTCACTTGGCAGCAGATTGATGATTTGCTTGAGCTCCTCCTCGAAACCGATCTCAAGTATCCGATCCACTTCGTCGATAATCAGGCACTGCAGGTTCTTGTAAAGAAAGTCTGGGGAGTTCTGGAGGTGATCCAGCAGACGACCCGGTGTGGCCACCAGAATGTTGATGCCCTTGCCCAGCTTCTCGCTCTCCACCTGGCGATTGGAGCCGCCCATTACCAGGCCGTAGGTGTGATGGTGGTGGGCCATCAGCTCCTTGAGCACGCCAAATGTCTGCATGGACAGCTCCCGCGTGGGCGAGATGATGATCACGCCGGTGCCGTTGCGGGGCATAAAGCGCAGCTTGTTTATCAGCTCAACGGCAGGAATAAGGAAGGCCAGCGTTTTGCCGGAGCCCGTCTGGGCAGCGCCCACCAGATCGCGTCCTTTGAGCAGGGGCGTCAGTGACTTTGCCTGGATTTCCGTCATCTCGGTGAAGCCCATTTCCTTGACGGCACGCAATGTGGCCTCGGAAACGGCTCCCTTAAGTGAGGCAAAGCTGCGATCATCTGAGTCCCGGTGATCCAGGGCAGCCAGCGAGGATTCCACGGTGAAGGGCTCATCGTCTTTCGGTGGCTTGCCATTTTGTGGCTTCGACTTGTTGGGCAGCAGCTTCGTTTTCTTGGCGGGCACAGGTTCGTCGTCAGCTTCATCTGTAATGAGTTATCTATGTTAATAAAGATTTATCATGGCTTAAGTTGATTCTTATCTAGTATGATTCAGTTGGTTTTAAAATGCATTTCATGCCTGCTCTGGCCAGCATTAACTCGCTGAACCTGAGCTGCTCAAATTCGCCTTTAAAAATCATCATTATTTTAGGGATGGGATGGAGTTCTTTGAGGATTTTAAAGCAATAAGAATATATATAGTTAAAAACAGTCACTATTCTTATGGTACTTTGTAAGTGATAGACTACTAATTTACTGTATCTTTGAATACTTGGTTCGGTCCTATTTTGAATATTTATGCGAAGTCTTTCATAATATCTTAAATATTTTTGATAACAAAGGTAGTAATAAAGGTAAACGCTTACTAAAAAGCTTATAAAAGTAAAGTAAAGTATTAGAACTTCCTCATGAAAGGTCTGTACATTTGAGGGGGTTAATGGACCATTACTAACCATCTTCCTGCTCAGCTTCTTCACTCCCGTTGGCTGCATCCTCTTCATCTTCGCTTTGGTCCTCTACATCCTGGTCCTCCTGCTCATCCTCATCATCATCATCATCTTCATCTGAATCTGAATCCGAGTTGGCCACCTGAATTTGTTGCTTCTTTAGCGGCTGTTTCTGTTTCTTCTGCTTGGGCAGCGGCGCCTCCTGGAAATCCTCCTCTAAATCGTCATCTGCTCAAGGGGAAATACACATTTATCATTTATGTAATCCAGAAATGTTACAAATCCTACGTTCATCCTCCGCCACATGTTTTTTGCTCTGCTTCTGCGGTTTTTTACTGGGTTTATTGCCATTTTGTTTGGGTGCCTCTTGCACTTGGGGCTGCTTTTTTCCCTTCTTCTGTGACAGCTCCTTCTTCATCTTCTCCCGCTTCACTATCTTCTTCATCAGCAGCTTCTCCCGGATCGACATAATGCTATATTAATTGGATTAATTGGCTTTGTAATACACTTTAATGGTTAAAAACAGAATTCTCGAATAAAATAAAGCGCGCACGTGTTGCGGCTCACAAGTGCCATTCACCCAGAAGCAAAAATACCAAGGAATACGGTCTGCCTAAAATGCCAGGTGGGTGATACCGCTAACTCATAGTGCGTACACACACCAATTTGAGGGCCATCTCTAATTGTTTTTGTTGTGGTCACCTGCTTCGCAACACAAAAAGATGTAAACAAAGTAACAACAAATTAATTGAATGGCATTCCATTCAATTTTAAGAAATTGTAGACATTTTTTAAAGTTTTTTTGAAACTGTATTTATTTTTATTACACTTTTAATTTGTCTGCACTTTTTTTTTATTTATATGGCTTGCCATTTATTATCCAATTATCAATAGGGGAATCACCTCTTCTTATCATAAGACAATAATTTTGTTTGTTTTATACGAATCACCTTTTTCAGGGTCAACATTAAGTTTAACTGAGAAACAAATTTTAGTGTTTTATGAATTTTTATTTAAAAATTAGAAAAACATCAAGTTGTTTTACAAATGGCTTTTGGGAGTATTATAATATTGCTAAAGCACTCACATTTATCTTAAGGAAAACACTCCTTAAAGTATAAGCAACTGCAAAGTTTGGTTCTTTTTTTTTGGCTGACCGTAGCAAAGCTTATCATAAAGGATAGGGGATACACCCTTTCTTATCAAGATAACATACAAATTGCAAACATTCATGCATAAAATTTAAATACAACAATTGTCATCCTAGTGCGACATAATCTGCTCCACCTTCTTGCGCAAATCGTTGCGACCACTATCGCCCAGGGCGCGACACAGCCGAACGAGGAAGAGCTTGGGGTCGTGGCACTCGTCCTCCTCGATCAGCTGCAGCAGTTGCAGAATCTGGGAGGAGAGACTGCGCGGATAACGCTCCTCGATGTTGTCCATGGCGCCCTCGCCAATACCAGCCGAGCGGCCCAATCGTCGCCAGGAGCGTCCCAGCTCCTCGGAGATCTTCTTGAACACAGCCGCACGTTTGCGATCCGTAAAGGCAGCCGGCGTGGTGTAGTTTTGAATGACAGGTGTGGGTGCAGCCACAGCCACCGGCGAAACCGAAGGATGGAAATCCTGGGGCGGCACAATACGCAGTTGTTCACGCAGCTCGTCGGCCAAGCGGAGTTCCTGGTACAGATTCACCGACTGGTTGCGGAAATTCTCCGGCGGAGTGTAGCCAGCCAGGGCCTCGATCAGGCTCGGCTGATTGCCGGACATACGGCGCAGTGGCTCCACGTTGTCCTCGGCCAGCTCGTCCGACCGCTCCAGGCAGTCAATCAGATCCTCGATGGAGCGTATGCAGTCCAATCGCCGCTGCGACCCGATCTCGGCGGCGAACATCTGCTTCAGGTCCTCCACGTCCTCCCTGCACCCATCGATGGCGATCTGCTTGAGGATGTCGTAGCTCCAGTGTCTGCCTCCCGTCATCGTGACAATTTGGTTAAAAGAGACGGTACTTACAGCGATCCAAAGTGGGCGAACCAATCTCAATTTTTCATTTGATGGGGTTTAGTATGACCGTATGGCCAAACATTTTCTTATCAGTTAATTATCGATCAATCCTGCCTATCGAACGGAAGTGCATATGCAGTGTGACGTCACAAAGTACTTACATGCATAGAGAAAATGTTTAGGTGAATAAATTTACTTTACCAAAAGTAAAATATATATATTTACTCATTAGTTTAGCTTTCTACATTTAAAAATACATCATTTTTAAATATATTATTAAATTTTAAATAATTATGTTTACATTTTTATAGGCAGACTTTAACCACCTTCCACTCTTCCACATCGTGGCCACGGGCAGTGTGGCCGCACACCGATAACCGATAGTCGCGGGATGCCATCTCTGTTTCAATATATATATTTATGTTTTTGTTACTTTTAAAAAGCAACTTATACTAGATGTAAACGTGTGGACGAATGGAAATATCCATAAACGTGTTTGTTTTCCTGCTCTACACTCTGGTCGTGATCTACCTTCAGCACTTCGTCAACAAGTACACGGAGCTCGTGCGCAGCCTCTAGATGCTGGGACTTCAGACGTATGCCAGTTCCTCCTCGGAGGGCGAATCGGACCATGAGCACGCCGCCAGTCGCCGCCGCCAAATCGGAGCACCCTACTGCCAAATCGGAGCCCCCCACCGCCATTCCCGCCCACCTGCTGCCCGTGGACAAGACGCACTCGCTCTCCACGGCAATCGCTGTGTGCGCGGCGCCTGCCGTGGTGCCCCTCGGAGCGTCGGCGGTGCCACGAACCCTGGATCCCACGCTCAAAGAGGTCGCCTACAATCCGCGCTACGAGGAGATGTATGCGCCGGTAAAGGGGCCGGAGCACCCGGACCTTACCATGCAACAGCGGGCACCGCGAAACACACTGGCCGGCTACGTGGAGAAGGCCCACATCAACGCCTTCGAGTTCGAGAACCAGCGACGCACCTTCCACACCTACGGCTATGCCCTGGATCCCAGTGTGGACGAACAGGCCGACGGGCAGTCGTATGTGGGTGACTTGCAGTCCGCATACGATGACAATGGCAAGACCGTGTTCGAGGCGCCAAAGGCGAAGAAACTGCGCAAACAGGAAAAGAACGACAATCCCGAGGACGTCGAGGGCTTCCTTGGACCCTGGGGCAAGTTCGAGAACGAGGTGTCGGTGGCCAAGCCCAACGAGCAGGAGCGCGCCGAGCTGGACGAGCTGCTGTCCAAGCGGCACAAACGCGGACGCATTCCCGAGGACAAGCCGCTCGAAGAGAAGTCCACACTGCACAGTGAGTATAATGAAAGGCAAGGTATAGGAAGTATATGCATTAAATCACCTTTTCCCTCTATCCCTCACAGTCAAGGACGCCTACGACTACCAGGGGCGCTCGTATCTTCATGCTCCGCATGATCTGGGCGTAAATCTTCGATCGAATGCCCCTCCGCCCAAATGCTTCCTGCCCAAGGCGCACATACACACATGGTCGGGCCACAACAAGGGCATTTCCTCAATTCGCTGGTTCCCCAAAACCGCTCATCTGCTGCTCTCCGGCTCGATGGACTGCCGTGTGAAACTGTGGGAGGTATATGGCGAGCGACGATGCATTCGCACCTTCTCCGGACATCGGCAGGCCATCAAGGATATTGCGTGGAACAACAGGGGCACCAACTTCTTGTCCGCCTCCTACGATCGCTACATTAAGTTGTGGGATGCCGAAACGGGCGATGTGGTGTCCCGATTCACCACTCGCAAAATGCCATTCTGTGTGAAGTTCCATCCGGATAATAGCAAGCAACACTTGTTTGTGGCGGGCACATCCGACAAGAAGATCATTTGCGTAAGTATCCTAAGCAGATGATGGATTTCAAGTTGTAATCGTAATTTCTATTTTATCCACAGTGGGACACTCGTAGTGGAGATATTGTACAGGAGTACGACCGGCACTTGGGCTCGGTTAGCACCATCACCTTCGTGGACGACAACCGTCGGTTTGTGACCACCTCGGACGACAAATCGATGCGCATTTGGGAGTGGGACATACCCGTGGACATGAAGTACATTGCAGATCCGACTATGCATTCCATGCCGGCCGTCACATTGGCGCCGAATGGCAAATGGATGGCCTGCCAGTCGCTGGACAACAAGATCGTCATCTTCTCCGCCCTCAACCGCTTTAAGATGAACCGCAAGAAGACCTTCACAGGGCACATGGTGTCGGGCTACGCCTGCCAGCTGGACTTTTCGCCGGACATGAGCTACCTGGTGTCGGGCGATGGCGACGGCAAGTGCTACATCTGGGACTGGAAGACGACGAAGATGTACAAGAAGTGGCAGGCGCACGACGGCGTCTGCATCAGCGCCCTGTGGCATCCGCACGAGGCCAGCAAAGTGGCCACCGCTGGCTGGGATGGCCAGATCAAGTACTGGGACTAAATGCCTGCACAATATAACCTAGATAGATGTAAGCCAAACCGATGTGTAAATTGATTGATTATATTGCAAACTATGTTCAAACAAAGTTGTTTTTCCGCCTTAATATCTGCCCTATTTATATGCCTAAGCTAATTTTAGTTTATTTTAAATTCCTTAACATATTTATTCCTGGACGAGCCCCCTTTTTTTGTGTGAGATGTAGCCTTTATTTACCTTTGCTTGTGATAAGAGTGCGCGTGCGCAGTGCATGTGAAAATGCAAACAACTCGACGGATGGTCCGCCCACCACCCAATCACCCAGCCACCCCCACCAGCAAGGCAAAACATATGCGAGTGTTGGCCAAAATCGATATTTTCCACGAAAGACGCACAAACGTCGAGCGGATAGTGAAGAAGGGCCTTTTAAAAAACTCTGGCAAAAAGGCTAAAACCCAAGGTTTGCACAGTGGAGAGGAGATGCAGTGAGGGACGAGCGAAAGGTGTACCCCGAGCATCAGCCAGACACCCGAGAATCCTGCCAACGGCCATGGCCAAGCCCCACTCGGATGCGGATGCCTCTGGCCTGGGCTACGCCTACCAGCTGCCGTCCGGCGGCCTCTTGCTGCGCCTCAAGTCCTCGCTCTCGCAGTTCAGCGATTTGTTCAGCGACTTCAGCAGATACATCTCGCCCGCCTATCACCACGACCGCTGCGAGCGGTCCGTCCACATGCGGCTGTACTCGATGCACAAGCGCGAGTTCGTCATGGTCTTCCTGGGTTTCTTTACCTGCTTTGGCCTGGGCATCGTCATCGGGCTGACGGGACCGCCCATCACCAGCACCTCCTCGCTGACCGCCCAACAGATTCTGGCCAACACCTCGCTGGCCCACAGCCCCACGGTCCTGGGGAAAGGACCCTTCGCCATGAAGTCGCCGCTGACCACCACCTACTCCCAGCAAATGTGGCTCATCGCCAAGCTGGTAACGGACAACAACGATGGTGGGTCCTGTGGGCATTACAAATACTAATAAGTATTAATTTTTTCTTGATTACTTTAAAAGTCTTTGTAAATTACAAGAAATGTTAAATTGCAAAATGGTAAAGTAATTTAAAGGATCAGTAAAGTTAAGTTAAATCATCATTAAGTTAATATCATTCTCTTTTTAAAAACCCCTTGATAAAAATATTAAATTTTAAAATTAATATTTACATTGTATTTACAGACGAGCGTTATGACAAGAGTTTCCAGGTCAGCGTCTCCATCGATGGCATCAACGAGCAGCACAAGCCGCAGAACATCCTCGGTTCAGGAGTGGCTCACAACCGGACACGGCACTTGGTCTGCGTTCGCAACGACTGCGAGGAGTTCACGGTGATGCATCTGGGATTTTTGGACTACGCCCACTATATCATCACAGTGCGCTTCTACGGACTGGAGTCCTTCCACCAGAAGTATAATATACGCAGCATTACGTTCTATGTGAGTGGTTTGGATTTTCCTCTATGATGTCTAATAACTTTTCACTTTAGTTCAAGACCTACAGTCCGGAATTCACGCAGATTGAGATCTGGTTCAGGTGTATCTTTCTACTCTTCACCTTCATTGTTATAGTAAGTGGCTTGACTTTCTGATGATAATATATGATGATGAAAAAAGAAGAAATAGTTTTAATCATCATTTATATATCAATATGATGATTAAAATTATTTCTCATTTTTTAAGGGAATCCTAGTTTTATTTTTTGGTTTTAGACATTTTATTTGGAGATATCTTATTCTTTCATTTATAATTTTAACGTTTCAAATATAGTTTAAACAGAGAATGATGTTAATATTCTTGTAGTTCGGGTTCAGAACTCCTTAAAGGATGCCAAAAATTGAACCTTTCAATTACGTTACCTTTTTCCAATTTTACATTTTGTGTATTTAGTCATTTGACGGACTGTATTTTTTTCATATTTCCAGTGCTGGTATGCCCACACCTTGCGAAAGTATCCGATCTACGACTGGTCCATTGAGCAGCGATGGTTGTCGGTTCTACTGCCCCTGCTTCTGCTGTACGATAGTAAGTCATATCCCAAAATCAAATCTATACACTTGAGTGTACCCAAGAACTTCCTCTTCATAGATCCCTTCTTTCCGATGATATTTCTGATGAACTCCTGGGTGCCGGGAATGCTGGACGCCATTCTCCAGGCCACCTTCCTCTGTGCTCTACTCATGTTCTGGCTCTGCATTTACCACGGGCTGCGGCAAAACGAGCGAAGCTTTGTCCGCTTTTACCTGGTCAAGGTGATCGTGGTCCTGCCCATCTGGCTGTGCGCCATCGTTCTGGCCACCTGGGAGAAGTGTAACGAGCTGAAGGATCCCACATACAGTCACTTCGTGGACACGAAAAACTACAATGTGGGTATATACATTTAAAGAGAGCTTCTAGAACTCCAGAATCCAAACCATTCACAGGGCTTCAAGATGTTCTTCTACATTGCGTGCTGTATGTACGTGCTGTATTTGGTGCTGCTTCTGCTGCGGGCATACACCGAGCTGAGATCCATGCCCTATTTGGTGAGATATAGTAGAATTATTCGCATAAAAACTGTGATAATGTTTAATTCCTTTATCCAGATATGCGCCTGAAGTTTCTTACGCTGCTCATGCTGTTCGTCCTGTCCATATCCATCACGGTGACCACTTGTCGCTTCGGCTTTGGCATCCTCGAAGACAACTTCGTGGCCTCACTGGAACACCACCTACCGCAGCTCGGCGCAGTTCATGTGCTTCTATGGGCTGCTGAACTTCTACCTGTACACCATGGCGTATGTGTATTCGCCAGATGGACGCTTTGCCCAAGCGGAACTGGCCGTTACTAAGGATAATCCAGCCATCTCCATGATCGGACGATTCCGACGAGGACGTAGTCTACGGCTCCGACGAGGAGTCGCGTCGCCCTCTCACCGCTGTGGGCGGCGGAGCTGGAAGAACGACTACGACAGCGATTGATTGGATAGCGCAGATTTGTGAGAGTCTGAATTCCAAATGTTCCATAGAGCCAGCGAGGGTTATAGTGCTAAATAAGTGTACAAAATATTCGCTAACATTATGCATAAATTAAACGAATTTCCAAAATTAATCTCTGTTTGGATAATAAACTGGAAAATATATGCATTTTCTAAATATGTTTAGTAATTTAAGATTACGAATAAATTAACTTGTCCGTGAGTGTTGAAAATTTATAATCAATTAGAATCGATTATGGCAAATCAGTTTTAAACAATTGATGTGTGGTAAGCCCTCTTATGATTCATTAAGGGATTTTCGATTGTATTCAAAACAGAACGATTTCTTTCATAGAGGTTCCTTCCAATTAGTTTACTAGATTGTTTATTAGATAATTAACACATTTCGCCAGATGATTTCAATTCAAAAGCAAAGCAAAACACCCTCTAGATGGCCTGGTTAATGCCTAATTTCGTCTTGGTGAGGAGACCCTCGTCACCCATTTCCGCGTTGTAGCCGGGACGGTACTTCATGCCGGGAGCCTGTTTGCGAAAGAGAATGATAAGTGTAAAGGAAATCGAAAAGGACGAAAGGGCGCGCTGCACTCACATTGTACCAGACATCACGCCAGACTTTGCTGTCGTCGGCGCTGCGCAGCAGCTCCGGGACATCGGAAACGAGGCACATTGAAGTAGTTCATCAGGTCGGGCTTTCGTGGCAGTACTTGATGCGGGCCTCGCACCACTCAGCCTCCAGTGGGAAGCGCCAGTCGAGCATCTTCTTGTTGTGGGAGTCCGCCTCGAACTGGTCGAAGTCGATGCGCTCGATATCCTCCACCACAACCTCGGTCTCGCCGCCGGCTGTCCAGTCGTAGATGAGGAGCTCGGCATGGGTGGAGATGTCCTTGAGGTACTGCTGCTTGTACAGCTGCTCCACATCGTTCAGATAGGCATCGCTGAACACCTTGATTGCACCTCGTAGTCGACGTTGCGGGCCTTGATCTTCTGCTTGACGGTATCGATCGACTGATCCAGATAAATAACCAAATGCGGCTTCAGCAGCTCCCCGATGGTGTTCTGGCGCAGCTCGTTGTACACGGAACGGGCGCCGCGGGACAGATAGCCCTGCCGGAACATGGCCTCCATGAAGACGTCGGAGTAGGGGCTGCGCTCAAGGACCACACCCTGTCCAGTGCTGAAGATGTGCTGCAGGGCGTCGATGTACTGCGAATAGCGTAGCATGTACATGCGGATCTGGAACTGGGCTGCCAGATCGTGGCTGGGATCCTGGCAGAAGTTGCGCACGTCGTAGCTGCGGCAGCTAGGCGGCAACTGGGGATCCAGCTTCCTCATGTCATAGCCATAGGAATTGATGTAGATCAGGTCCAGATCCACGGCCGGTAGTACTGCATGTCCAACTCCTCGGCCAGCTCCTGGGCGAACTTGGACTTGCCGGCGGCAATGGGTCCCTCCACGCAGATCACCTTTGAGTTCTCGTCGAAGCGCTTGGAGGTCTTATCGAAGAAGGCATTGATCACGCTGTACTTCTTCGTCTTGTACGGATAGGGGGCGGCCTTGGGCACCCGGGGACCGCCTCGCATCGTCTTGCCGGAGATGCTGCACCGCTGCTGGAAGGCGGCGGGCAGGGCGTTCGCCTGCGCCTGGAGAAGATTGGGCGACTGTGCGGCGCGGCTGACGAGCCGCACCAGGCCAACGCGGAACACGGCGGTCATTCTGAGGGGAGGAAAACGAGTATCAGTGCATTAGATTCGTGATAATAATAAATAATTCTGGCCCTCTGGCAGTTGGCTGTTTGGTTACATCACAGGAGGAGCTGTGCAGGTTGTGCGCTTATTGCTGGCCAAAAACTCCAGGTGCGCGAATGCTTTTCCGTTTTACTGCTGGCCACTAGTTGGGCGCTCCTTTTGTTGACCAAATGTTAAAGTTTTATCGCCCGATCAGGCCGAATAACTCACTTTTCCAAGTTAAAATCGAAAGTCTACCCAAAACAAATCTGGGCAGTGTGACAGTTGGCGAAATGACTTTTAACCAAATGCTCTCGCCATAACACTAAAAATCCCGTTTTCGCAGCACTAACACCGAAACCCTTCCAGCGGTCTGGCAACCCTGACACAACCTCACTGCATTTTGGATCTCCAACGTTCTAGCAATGAACTAACGAAAATATCAATCAAAATTCAACGCGACTGGCTCCAGGAACAGATAGACAAATACCCCGACTTGTGACCAAGAGGATCGGGTGAGTACCGGCGATTGGGCCTTGTGCTTTGGGGGTATTCCACCTCTTGGAGTTACGCAACTGAGAACTAATAGGATTTTCCTCGTGACACAGATTTTGTTTGTTGAGGAATCCCCAGCAGAAATGGGCAACACAGCGATCACCCGCGTGCAAATGGAGGCCACCAAGAGTGTGCCGGTGGACCACTCCAAGTACACGGCTGCCGGTGGCTCCCCACCACCAGAATGTCCCATGCACCAGAAACATGGGGAAGCGAAATCCGCCTCCGCAGTGCCCCCACATCCCAAGATGCAGGCCGCATCCGAGTGCCCGGTGCAGCACGACAACAGCGACGTGAATCCGCTGAACATGATGCCACCGGCCAACCAACAGCCTGCGGCGGACCAGCCCTTCCCGCTGCCAACCGACCGCCAGACCTCGACCATTCCCAAGGTCACCGAGGATGGCACCGTCCAGTTTTGGCAGTATCCCAGCCAACAGATGTTCTGGAATGCCATGCTTCGCAAGGGCTGGCGCTGGAAGACCGAGGACGTCTCGCAGAAGGACATGGGCGACATCATACGCATCCACAACGCCAACAACGAGCAGGCCTGGCAGGAGGTGCTCAAGTGGGAGGCGCTGCACGCCAAGGAGTGCGGCAATCCGCGCCTCAAGAGCTTCGGCGGCAAGGCCAAGGATTTCAGTCCACGCGCCCGTTTCCGCAGCTGGCTGGGGTGAGTGATCCGCCTTCGGTGATTCTAGATAAAGACTTATTCGGAGGTGTCACACAATATCGAATCCAACCAAAATTGGTTGGCGTTCTTATGCATATCAACACTCAAGATCAACCTTTTTTGGTAGTAAGAAATTTCTGTAACACCACCGACAATAATGACTATGCTAATACTTAATATGAACCATTTCCAATTCCACCACAGTTTAAAAGCTTTTGAATATTTATTTCGCCATTCTCCAGTGGAAGGTCTTCCTAGATTGTCCTATTAAATTTTCAAACTTTATTTTAGATACGAACTGCCCTTCGATAGGCATGACTGGATCGTCGATCGCTGCGGCAAGGACGTGCGCTACGTCATCGATTACTACGACGGCGGTCTGGTGGACAAGGACTACCGTTTCGCACTGCTGGATGTGCGTCCTGCCATGGACTCTGTGGACAACGTTTGGGACCGCATGCGAGTGGCCTACATGCGCTGGAGGTACGAGGTGACCGAGAAGTTTGGCGGTCGAGACGGCGGCAAAGTGAGCGCTGGTAGCGACTAGGTGGAATACATGCATATATGATCGGTATCTGTACAAAATCGGCTTAAGTTCTCGAATGCGACTGGAGTTGTAGTTAATTAAATGCGTTTAAACTGTTGAGTGGCGAGTTAAGGATGCTAGAGGGCGTAGGAACTCCCTCTCTGACTTCTGAACACCCAAAGGCCATAATAATAATCCTTTAAAATTTCCTTTAGATGAAATTGGTTATCTGGGAGTCGCATTTGATTAAAACACTTCTAATTTAACTTTTATTACGGATGCGAAATGATTCTGTTAAAGTTATAAATAAACAGAAATGGTTAGTTCCAGTAATTTCAATTTAACTTCAAGTTACTCCAAACTTGGTTTCCTTTCGGTTTAAGCTAAGATGAAATATGTTTAGTTATGGTTTTTACAGAATATAATTGTAATATATGTGTCAAGTTAGTTTAAGCTTAAACCTCTGCGGAAGATATTATTTTTCCTGCTCTAAATGCCTCACGAGCTATATCTAGAGAACGGTATAATGACTAGATGCATTCCCCTAGTCCATATCAAAAACATATACACTTTATGGAGTCGGAAGCCTCTCCTTCTCTGCGTTACAAACTGCCCAACATTACAATACCCTGCTGCTCTGTTGAAAAATGTGTAACAGAAATTTCCGGGCCCCATGAAGTTTATATTATATATATATAAATGCATATCCTTAATGAGGATCGCAAGCTGAGTCTAGCGATATTAAGGGTTAACGCAAATTATTACTTATTGGTTACCCTTATCAGAACACCAGTACGATTTTATCCCCTACGGCTTCAGTGGGTTAATCGCAAGCAGTGTTGAAAAACGCGAGTTTTCTACGTTTTTGTTTGTTGGTGTCCCCATTACGTGAGAACCTTGTTCGGCCACTTCACTGGAGAGTTAATTGGAAAGCCCCGATCGCTTCGATCCACCTACATCAGTCATAAATGCTAGCTGCCAGAATGAGGTTCGTGCAATACCTGCGTAAAGGGGATTTGGCCAAGCGCCTTGGCTTCCTGTCCGAAGACCAAAAGTCTCTGGTGGAACTCGCCGGCTTGGAGGGCGTACCGAGCGATCTGAAGACTTTGATTGCCCAGAGCCCCAACCTCGAGGAGCTGGCCAAAAAGGCTGAGAAGCAGCCGCGACTCGAGGTGAACGATGATGTCACATTGCTGCCACCCCTCACCGATCCCGGCAAAATCATCTGCATTGGTAAGTGGCCTTGGTTGGTTGTTTGGACCTTGACCCCCAAAATAAGTGCATCTTCATATTGTCTCCCCCGGCAGGTCTGAACTACCAGGACCATTGCGATGAGCAGAACAAGCCGGCCCCCAAGGAACCATTGTTCTTCAGCAAGTTCAACAACGCCCTGGTGGGTCCCCAAGATAATGTCATCGCCCACTCGGCGAGCACTGTAAGTAGAACACAAGATAACAAGAGATAGCCTCGTCGAGATTACCAGAATCAAAAAAAAACTTTCCGCAGAAAATCGATTGGGAGGTGGAGCTGGTCTGTGTCATTGGCAAGGTCGCCCGCCATGTGCCCAAGTCCCAGGCCATGGACTATGTCTTTGGGTACACGGTGGCCCAGGACATCTCCGCCCGCGACTGGCAAAAGGAGCGGAATGGCGGTCAGTTCCTCATCGGCAAGTCGATGGA